GGGGTCGTGCAGAGTGGACGGGGGGACTGAGGCGCTCTGTGATTTTCATGACGGTCCCAGGGTCCCAGATCCAGACGCCTCCCACAGCCATGGGGTGACCCAAGGCTGGGGGGCAGGCAAAACAGGGGTCCAGACCCCCGTCTTGGGAAGGGGCACTGTGGGCCCACGTTCAGGAGCTTCCCCTCTGAAACAGGGCGGTCATCCTGAGTCGTGGGCCGTCCCCCCCATCCTCCATGTGTCCAGCTCACTCAGCGCTCAAGGCGCCGTGGACGGAGCAGGAGCATGCCTGTGGCCGGGGGTTCTGTCCAGGTGAAGACCCCCGAGGCGTCGTGAAGGACAAACCGTGGAGGGGTATTCGCATGGTGGACCCCACAGGCCAAGGAGAGGGCCCAGGCGCAGCACAGGACCTGGCCGTGGTCAGATGGGTGCGAGAAGCATCAGCAAGGGGGACAGGCAGGGTGACCGGCGGGTGGAGAGTCCAGAAACAGGCCGCCCTGGCCGTGGCGCAAGAGTGGAAGGCGACCGGTCAGGGCCGATGACCGGGGGCCATGAGTGCACCTTGTGGTTGGATTGAAAACTGGTTTCCGTGTGTTTTAACCGCCTCTCTGTGGCGGGCAGAGCTCCAGGGCATGGCCAGGTCACGGTGACCAGCCTCCAAGTGGCCTGACTTGGCAGCTGCTCCAGCCCAGAGACTTTTGTCTGTCACCACTGGAGTCTGAATGTGGCCGGCTCCACGTCCTCGTCCCCCCCGTCATGACTTCTGAAGTGTCTGGGACAGGGCAGTCCCCCTGCCTCCCCCCCCTCCTATTCTGGGAAGGGAGGGGACGTCTGGCCCACGGGCTGCGGCCCGGCTTCCTGTTTGAGGCTCGCTCAAGCCACAATTGTCCCAGCGCAAGTCGCAGCTCCTCGACAGGCCAGACGTCCTCGGTGGGTTTGCAGAAGTGCAGGGTGGTCAGGGGCGGCCACTCCCACAGAGGGACAGACGGGCAGTCCAGACTCTGGAGGCCTCTGGGGGCCCCTCAGTGCCTGCGTCCTCTCTGTTGGGAGAGCAGACGGAGCATTCTCTCACTCTGCCTGGGGACAGCGGGGGCCTGGCTCCGCCCTTGGCCCTGGATGCATCCTTTTATTACGACATTTTTCAAACATGCAGAAAAACCACAAGTGCTCAAACCACATGGCCTGCACTTACCACCCAGTCACGGGGTCACCAGCACGTTGTACTGGCTTCCTGCAGGAACACACGCACGCGACCACACACACACACACACACACACACACACACACACTCCAAATCACAGACATCGTGACGTCTCACCCCGGATGCTTCCTTCCCTAAGGACATCCAGGAAAATAAGGACTTTCCACACAGCCACAGAACCCTGCCCA